TAATAAAATATTACGAAATGAAATTTTCCACAATATATATTGAATTACAATGAAAACGATTAAATTCGAAGTAATCCAAAAATGATAAACCTGAAACAAAATACGTTAAAATACTAGCTGTTGAATTTTGAAAGTTTATATTATTGTTAAAAAATTTAGCATTGAACTTTGAAGGTTTTTGATAATGAAATAATACATATCAAAATTTAACTGTTTAATTTCAATTTCGAAGGGTTGCGACACAATCAATAACCTTCAAAATCTAATGTTACAATATAATTTCAAAGGTTTTCAAATAAATATAATTACTGATGTTATTAATGACTATAAATATATTTATATCAAAAAACTGACTTTTTTTTTTATTATATAATGACAATAATATTTATTTATATCACAATATAACAATAAAATCAACTTTATTATAATATTATTTTTTATATGATAAAATTAAATTAAAATTATACTATATAAAACCAAAAATGTTTTAAAAGCCAATAGATGCAAAATAAACATTAATAAAAATAAATTTATTCTTCTCTACTGTCAATATTTAATTTTGAAGTATTATGTAAAAATCTGCTCACGTAACCCTTTCCCTTCTTATCATTACAAATGTTCTTCTTATGCCTTCCTCTTTTAGCCATTGCTTCAGTTTTGTTAATCTTATCATTACTCCTTTTAACACCATTAAAAACACTTATAGACTTATTAGCAAGTTCAATTTTCACACATTTTGAAGAAAAGGTATTTTCATTATTTAAAACTACAGAAGATGATATTCCAACTTCAGAAGATTCTCTTTGATTTTCAATAATATTACAATGAGTGGCAATAAGTTTTGACCAGGCCTTATTAATATTTTTTGATAAACTGTATAATTTGTCATCAGAATTTCTCCTCAGTAAAGATTGGGTACTAATACAATTAATATCTTTCGTGTATATGTAAAAATCATTATTAATAACTTTCAATTGTCCTAAAACAAAAATAAACAAATCTAACGAATGAATTATACTTTTTAAACTTATAAACCAAGAATTTAAGTACTGAAATATAACTTTAATATCAGAATCAAGATCTTGGCCAACATAATTATCTATCAAAATATTCAATACGGCATTCTCGTCATCTTCTACTACTTGAGATAATTCTTGAGGAACTCCAACCAGAGAAATCATCAACAGACATTTATTCGAATTAGGAACTTTATTAAAAATAGTCAAGCCAGTTGAAACTGAAACCATTATTTGTAAGAATAAAGTGATAAGTATATTTCTTAGTTTGAATAATAATTTAACTATTACCTTTGGCCTTTTTATACCTCCATAATACCTAGACACAATCTTTTTGCCAACTGAATAAAACCTATCCTTTTTAAAAATGGCCTGGGTTTCAGAATCTCTCGTTTTAAGATTATTAGAAACAAATAAAACCATCTCAATTTCATTATCTTCACGATCTGCGAGAAATACGTCAATGGCTTACAACCACCAATTTAAGATCTTTCTTCTCAGTTTTATGAACAACCTTAATTTTTACAATGGTGTCAGTGTAGTATGGCATAATTGCTTTGAAGGTGATGAAAAATAATATAAAATTCTCAACAATAAATTCTGTTTACATAAAGTAAGTTTAGCATTGATATAAATTTACAATATTTCTATAGCTGATAACTTAAAAATAAACCATCATAATATAATAAATAAACAACTACCCTTCTGTTTACTTTAAAACATTTAAAAACATTTAAAACATTTAAAACATGATGTAATAAATCAACAAACTATCCCTTTGTTTATTTTGCACTTAAACATAAAGCAAGATTAATCGTGATTACCTTAAACCAAAAGATACTTCATATTTTCATTCTGTTACATGAATTTCTACCAAATTAACTCCTTATTAAATCTTTTGATTTAAGAAAATTTTCTTATGCCAAAGTTTGATTCCTACGATTCACTCACGTGGTCAATAAAAAAAAAGTCTTTGCTCATTGAGCCTTTGCAAAATTCTGCCTTTAACCTCTTGCCACTTCACTTAAAAAAATGTATTTAACGAAGACCAATTCATATAACTGATATGCTGTTACTAAAACTAAAACACCTGTACTATTTAAAAAACCTGTTAAGCCAAACTTTACACAATAATAATCACCTGATTTAGAATTGTTGCTGAAGTTCAAAAAGAAACAAATCCTATAGAAATAATTGTTAATATTTTATTTTTTGAATTCTGAATAACTCTGATCTCCTGATATTCAAAATCTAAATAAGATAGGACACAAAGTGCCCCCATCATACTAGTTAATAAATATAATAAACAATTTACTAATGACTTATATTGAATCAACAATAAAATCCTATGTTTGAAAAAATTTATTGCTGTAAAGAAATTTCTCCAACAATAATCATCTACATATTTCTTTATTATTATTATTGTGATCGTAGTTGTGAATATTAAATGATTGAGATTTTAAACTATTTCATTATTTTAATTATGTCCATTCTCTTTATTGCCTTTATTCTTCTGTTTCAAATGTTTTTTAACTTGATTATGTTCTTTAGAGAGAAAGTTTTCTCCAGATTAATGTCTTTAAATTACTTGATTTCTGTTTTAAAGAGATCATTCCATTCTTGTATATTTATTGCACTATATTTAATGGAGTTAAGTGGCTTATTAAATAGAGATCTTTATTTCTTAATTCTTTCTTTATTGAAAGAGACAATCACCCTTTTGGAGTTGACCAAGAAGTCTAGTAGAATTATTGCTTTCTTGGTTGGAAAAGATATTAAATATATATTTGTATTGTTATCTATGGTTGATTGAGTATTGATACTTCTAGATTATTTTCTATATTTATTTTTTTATTGTTAGTATCCGTATTATTGTATTGCATATTTATTACTTTTAGGTTGTGCTTTGGGAAAGGTGAATGTCTGTAGGAGAAAGATAAGTTGAGCAGTAGTGCTCTTGGAGTTCAATATCTCCTAATTCTTCTATATATAGATATGTATCCTCTTGGCTAAGTTAGAGAATTTTCATACTTTGGATTGCTATTCTGATATATATATTCTTGGTTTCCTGCATTCTTTGCATGGCATAGTCTGGAATATTGCAATATATTATTTTTTTTATTGATTACTGTACTGCCAAGGGTAATCATGTTGCTTGTTCCAGGTATTCAAGTAACTAACTATTTTAGATGATATTTCATATGGAATAAAAGAATATTGAAATTCAGGTGTTGATGGATTCATGTCAGAACCTTGAAAAATATTACAAGAAGGAATTATTAATAAAAAAAAAATAAATAATAATAAAAGTGAAACAGTGTAATTAACATGACCATATCATGTTAATAGATTATTGGTATAAAGAAAATTGTTTGTAAAAATAAAAATAATCATTAGAATAGTTGAAAGAAATTGAATAAAAAGCATTAGTAATACTTGTAAATATCAAAAAAAATAGAAAGTCAAAAGAAACAATATAGATTAGATGTAATTAAAGTAAAGTGCTATGAGAAATAGGAAATGTTAGCAGAAATAAAAAGATGTTAATAAATAGATGAAAGAAATAAATCATTAGTAATAGAATAAAATTTTGGTAGGAATGTTATTAGAATTAAAATTATGAAAGTTGAAAAATGATCATAAAACAAGAATATTTGACACAATCATATACATTGATACTATCGATGCCAAAGAATCACGTTTGATAATTATATCATCATAAGTTATAAATAACAATGAATGTTAGTGTTTGAAAATTAATAAATAAAAAGTAATATACAACAAAAATAATCTAAATAAAAAAATACTCACCAAAGACAAATTGAAAAAAAATAGACCCTTCTATCAAAGAACAACAAATAGAATTATTTTAGGAATAAATGTTAGTAAAAATCAAATCCATTATCATTATTATAAAAAGAAAAGAATCATTAATGTAGGAAACTGCTAAAATAAAAACCATTAATAAAAGAAAATGCATAACATTTTATTATCTTGATAATTGTTAAGTATCAGATACGAAAGTGACATCAACCAGAGCTCTTGTGCAACCTTTTGTCTTTCAAATTCCATGATCCTTTATGTGAAATGAAAAAGTATTATGAGAAGTAGGATGATATTAAGTGTAGGTGTTGGAAGGATGTAAGCTGGAACCTTAAAAATGTAAAATATAAAAAATAAATTGTTTTCCATATATATATATTAAAATAGAATTAGAACAAATTATCACGACCACACCATTGGAAATAACCTATCCAGATTGTTGTTTTGCATTTATTTGTCACAATAATTAAGAATATCTACATTTTGTTTGATTATATTTACTTGCAAATGACAAATAAATCTAATTATACTAGCTACCCTGCTTCTTATTGAGTTTACAGATATGTTGCTGCTCCTACTTTGGATAGAAATCATAGCTATTTTGATTTCAAAAAAAAATTAAAGTAATCTATCTCATTGACAATTAGTTTTAACAAAATGTTATGTAACATTTTTTTTATTATCAAATTTATGTTGGATTTGCTGGTGTTGCAGTAATCTTATTAATCTTGATCTGCATCTCCTCAATAAATGAGCTTTATTAATTATTCCTCATCAGGAATACTGATTCTTCTGAAATTTTCAGTAATTAGAAATAGATAAAATAGTAATAAATTAGAAAAGTGAAAAAAAAATAGTTAATAAAATAGAAGTAATGAAGAAAATTGTAATAGAATAAATAAAAATCATTAGTGATAAAATAAATTTTGACAAAAATGTTGGAAAAAATTAGTAAAATTAAAATTGAATTGTTTATAGAGAAAAAAAAAATGCTGATGACAATAAAATAGTGGATTACAGCAAATTTGCTTCTCTTAATCCAGTGATTTCAGTTTGTAAATTCAACTATTTAAATTATCCAAATTCTTTGTAAATTGTATTGTTGACTAATTATTTTTTTAAACTAAAGAAATTGAATTTAATAAAGAAAATTTAATCAGAAAGTGAAAATAATAAAAATAAAATCTACTTACTCCATTTGTTCCTCCAAATTTTATTTCAGTTAAATTATCCTCTTGATTTTAACTATTTATTTTTTAAAAAAAACTTTAGATGTAAACAAACATAAACTATAAATAACAAAAGAACTTTAAATGTAAAAGACATTAAATAACAAAGTAAATAATAAAATAAAGTTTTTATCTGAGTATCGATTTCAATCGTTCAATCAATTATCAAAATCTTATAATTTTAGCTCTTCATTTCTGATTTTTCAGATGTATGGATGTATCTAAAAAATATTTTTGGTAAAAAGTAAATTTTTTATTGCATCATCAAAGAAGTTAGTGTTCGAAAATTGATAAAAAAAGATGTGTATGACATAAAATATTCTAAATTAAAAATACTCACCAAGGATATATGGAAACAAAAATTGACTCTTTGATCAAGAAAAATAAATAAAATCAATGTAAATAATAATGATAATAATAAATGTTAGTAAAAAATGGAAATCAATATCATTATTAGAGAAAGAAAAGAGTCATCAAAAAAAAAAATTGTTAGTACAAACCAAATCGATTTCAGGAAATTGTTAAAATATAAATCATTAGTAATAGAAATAAAATGTTAAATGAAATAAATATTAATAGAAATAAATGTCAGTATTAAAAAATGAAGAAATTCTTATATAAATAAAAGAAACTAAAATCATTAGAAATAAAGTAAAAGATTATATAATGATTTGGTAGTATTAGTAAAAAGAAAATCGTTAGCTAATAATTACTAAAGCGATAATTAAAATGAATAGAAATAAGAAATAGAAGTGTTTACATCGACCAAAAATGTTAGCATAAAATTTTGTATAATAAAAATTAGAATTAGAAAAAATAATAATGATTTCTTAGTATAAATAAAATATAAATAAATCATTAATAAAAAAAATATAGAAATGTTAGTACTAAAAATAATTAGTAAAAAAAATTGTTGACCCTATTCTCAACATTGCTGTAATTTTAGATATGAAATATTAATAATTCATACCATTCTATGTGATTATAAAAACTTGAATTGAGAATCAAAAAACAGCATTGATCAGTAGCTTTATATGACTTTCTTACCTGCATGATGAACGAAAGAACATTGAAGTATGTTGGATGGATGCATCCAGGAACCTTAAAAAAAATAAAATATATAGAAGAAAGAATAATAAAAAATGATAATAAAATTGAAACAGAAATAATTACCATGGCCATATCATGTTAATAGATTATTGGTATAAAGAGAATCATTCGTAAAAATAAAAATAATTAGTAGAATAGTCAAAAGAGGAAAATAGGAATAAATATTAGTAAAAGAAATGTTAACAGTAAAAAATGAAGAAATTCTTATCATAGAAATAAATTAGAAGATTATAGAAAAGAAATCGTTAGCTGTACCTATTTTTAGTAGAAATTATAGTTATTTCGATGTCAAATAAAAAATAAAGTACAGTAATATTTTTTATAAATTGATTTTACCTCGATTATTTCAAAAACTTCCAACATTGATGACAAGTTTTAACAAAGTAATCTGCTACATTCGTAGTATTATTAAATTTAGTTTGATTTTCTGGTTTTGAGTGATCTTATTAATCTTGATCAGCATCTCCTAATAAATGAGCTTTATCGATCATTCCTCGTCAGAAATTTGATGACTGAGTTATTCCTCTGAAATTGCAAGTAATTTGAAAAAATTGTTAAAGATATAAAATAATTAGTAAATTAATGGTATATTTGAATCATTAATAAAAAAACAAATTGTTAGATTATCATGAAAATAAAATGTAGATATAATAAAAACATTAATAAAAAAATATTTTAATCTTGTTCAAAAAAGACAGTAGTGTTTTAGCTACATTACCAATGCTTGTTTTAGAATTCTCAACAGCTACCTAAGGATTAGAGTGCATGAAAATTCCATTTTTTGTCCATATAATGAATGAAATGTTATGATTTTTAAAAAACATTCACTATTCTCAACATTTGAGTAATTTTTGATTCTTGAAATACTGTATTAACAATTCATACAGTTTGATTATCTTGACAGTTAATTATATAAAAACTTGAATTGACAAATCCAAAAATATCATAAACCGGTAGCCTTTCTTGTCTCCCATGATCCTTTATGTAATAAAGAATATTGAAGTTTGGATTTTGGATGCATGTATGCCGGAACCTTAAAAAATATTATGTAAATATATAAGAAAGAATTATTAATAAAATAAATAAATAATAATAAAATTGAGACAGAAATAATTACCATATAATATAGTATTGGTAAAAAGAATTGTTCATAAAAATAAAAATACCTAGTAGAATAACCAAAAGAAATTGAATAAAAATCATCAGTAAATAAATACAGTATTACTGAAGCAAAAAATTTAGATCGTAAGTAATTGAAGTAAAGTGTTATGGGAAATAGGAAATATCAGCAAAGATGTAAAATCATTAGCAGAAATAGGAAATAACAAAAAAATCGATAGTAAATTTGTAGAAACAATGTAAATAGAAAATCATTAGTATTAAAAGATAGTTGATGAAAAAAGAAAAAGGTGGAAAAATGTTAGTAGAAAATTGAAAAAGGAAATTGTTATTATAGGCCAAACTCCATCGGATAAATCTATGGTATCTATAAAACTTGATCCATGGGATCATATTATGTTTCATATATTCTTTGATTACTTCATCCATTTCTTTTTTATTTCGTATCTTTTTCCTTCTCAATATCTTGAACATTCTCATCTCTGTTTACTTCTATAATTATTTCCAGAGCTTTATTTGTTATCTGTTGGCCCATACGTATGTATGTGACCACTTATAATTATATTTTTGAGCACTGCTTCCATGACTACTATCTCTATCTTTTTTCTTCTATTATTTTTAAATGCATCAGAGTACCCTGTTCCCAAGTTTGCTTGTTTCTTGTGTCTGTGAGTCAATTTTCCTTGATAAATAATCTCTATCATTCATTCCTCTTCGAAGTTTGGTTTCTCATGATCACATGATCACATTATTGCCAAAAGAACTAATGATTTTGTTAAAAAAGATAAATAACATCATGTTAAATCATGAAAGTATCAATGAGAAACAAATAAGCAAGCAAGAAGAGAGGAAATAACTCAATAAAGCTGACAAAAGTGTGAGTTGAAATCTTGAAATCGTGAGGTTCTCTCAAAATGAAAACAGCAAAAAGCATCATCAATAGGGCTTTGTTGTGTTGGAAAAAGCATTCACCTAGCTTGACAAAGGGTTTTACACAAGCTTTTGGCTTATTATTTAAATTAAATTGACTAATAACGAAATTTACCTTTAATATTTAGCAGCTGGAAAGTATTATTTTTTAAGAAAGAAGAAGATACGTTACACATAAGATTTAAGATCAATGTAAATCTTAATTTATTATGATGACGTAATCTATTCTATAGTCAACTAGAAAATTTCAACTCCAATACTTTTTTTTCGACTTAATCTTTAATATCAGTTTAATTTATATGATACAAGTAATGATGTTTATATAAATATTGTATAAACGAAGGAAGAAGAGAGTGTGAATGAGAAGTAAATAAAAGGAAGGTAAAGAATGAAAGAAAAAAATAATTATTTATATTTAGAAAAGATTAAATAGACTTTTATTTTTTAAATATAAACTATTTTAATTCATAATTTAAAATAACTTCATAATTTATTGCAAAATTGTGTTTTCATTATTTCATTTTACAAATATTAATTTAATAGATAAAAATAATATTTAAATTACTAATTACAATTACATAATTATTACATTTCTATCTTTACGATATAAAAATAAAATCAATTATTTTTAATCAATTTAACGTTTCATTTAATCTAACTATTTCAACTATCATTTGTTAAATTTTTTATGTTCTTTATATAGACTAATATGCTTTTTTATGTTTTTTTTAATATACCTTAAATTAAATTATAATCAATAGATAACAATGAAATGTTTGTTCACTTAATAAATATGGATGTGCACGGAATCAAATTGGGAATATCACTATCACTAGTCTCAGGAGTTTTTCTTACTCAGATTCCTTCGCTACAGGAAGTCGTATGAAACACAAATAAAGGTATTTTTATAGACATTCTTAAACCTCGAAAAATTCCTTATGGCTGGCTGTTTATTTTTGAATTGGTGGAAAAGACAAAAAATTTTGAACCATGCACTCTATGATTATCGAATCATATTTTGATCTTCTTCAAAACAAGAACCATCTAAGTATATCGAGATGAACATTCAATGAAATTTTATCAATTAAAAGAAGGGCGTGGATAATAATTAGTTTTAAATAAACTTTATTTTTTATTAATTATAATTATTATTTATTTAAGAAATATTTTAAGAGTCAATGTGGTCATCCACAAAAAGGCCAAGGTAATGATAATAATCACAATTATAATAATGATGATAATGAATACAATTACCATAATAATGAAGACAATGTAAATGATGAATATGTTGATGTAAATTTCCTTTATGGATGTGGATGTAAGTGCAATTATAAATCAGAATATTTTTATAATTAATTTCTATTATATTAATTTTATTTAAATTTTATAGGATTATGAAAGTTACGGTGGAATGATAACTTGTCCTAATTATATGATGATGGATCCATTTATCATGCTAGCCAATGTCATTAGCAATGAGCTTTAAATATTTTTTCTTCTAAATTTACCCATAAATATTCATGTAATTCTAATTGTTTTAAATAAAAAAAATTTGTAAAAAAATGTGTGCTTTTGATTAATTTCATTGTTGTTGTTAAATAAGAATTAACTTTATTTATCAATAATGTTAATTAAAATGCAAATTCATATGCTTCGAAATATATAATTTTTATTAAATTTATGGATTAAACATGAGTCAATACTACATACATAACTATTGATTCATATAATAAAAAAGTTCTTTAAAATTAATTAATAAAAATCTATTAATCTTCATTTGACATTATTATTATATTTTCATTAATTTCTATCTTATATATTTTGACATGTAGAGAATGGATTTAAATGAATTATCCAATATACGATATTTACAGTATAAGCAATTATTCATTAATGAATAAAAATACTTAAAGAATAATTTACATTCAATTTTAGTAAGATAGTAGTTTTCATAAAATTTTTATTATACATATATGTATACATTTCCTATAAATTTGAAATATTCATTTAATTAAACAAGTTCATCTATTAATTAAATTTTCATCTAGAATAAAATTGTAGTATAAACGTGTCATGCATAGTAGACATATTTATTGGGGTAGCTGTTATATTTAAATTATATTAGATTTTGAGTCTTCGTGAAACCTGGTCGAGGAAATAATGGTATTACCTTTCCGTTTTATTGTGCTAGTGTTACAGGGGTTGTTCCTTTTTAAAAAATATTTCTTTATGTGGTGTGGTTAATGGTACAACATTTTTCAATCCTTTTTATATTATTTTTTATTATTTTTTATTATTTCTTTGTCGTAGTGCAACCATTTCTCTTTTCATTTCAGAATATTATCTAATAAATCAACATTTGACGGATTCGGCATTTCCAAGGAGAATTGGGAGATTTTCCACTAGATATTTCGATAGAATAATTGCCAAACTAAAATATATGAACTCTGATTTTGCCTATTGTGTTAATATTTCTAAATATGAGGTTCTAAATAATAAATAAAAGAAATTAAAATAACTCATTTGTGTAATTTATTTTTAAGTAAACCTGAATATGCTCCTTTATTAGTAGCTTTCTCATGAATGGAAAGAACTTTGGAAAAGTAATTTATCCAGACTGTGTCTGCAAGATTTTCCTCAGACAAACACAGTTTCGGAAAATGTCTGCTCCAAAAGCTGATTGTACGTGGATCTGTTCTTACGTTTTCTCCGAGGAGATGAGTATCACGTGGAAGTGAACAACGAATGAGAACTAATTTCTACTAATATGCATGTGACAAAGCAATGTCTCCACGTCCAGTATTAAAAAAATATTTACGATTGATTATTATTAAAAACAAATTTATCTCGTTAAAATGACTTGCAAAATCGAATTGAATTATTTATTTGCTCTATTTCGGCTTTAAATCCTGTTTTGGGAGAAAAAAATAAATTAAAAATAAGCGACTAATTTAATTATAAAAATATTTCTTTAATAAAAAAATTAAAGCAATTTACAAAGATAAATAAAATAATATAACATAAGATTTATACCACGTAAATCCTTTGGCTACATCTTTTGGTGTTTCAATTCCACTTATATAACACCAACTAACTCTACAATGAGCAATAATAATTCCATTTCTGCAGATTTTAAATATAATTCCAATGTTTTTTCTTCACTTTTTTCAAAACCTAATTCATTCCCATAACAAAGATTATAATTATTAATTTAAAATTCTTCCATCGCTATCGCTATTCTTTTAGTTGTACTTTTAAATCTCTATTTGTTTTGACGATGCTTACTTGATTTTTTCTTTTTACTATCCGTTGTAATTCCCTTTTCTTTTACCAGATAATAAAGTATTTGCGTCTCTCTTACCATTTATTCCACATATCCTTATTTCAGTGTATTTAATGTAGCATCTAATATTTTGGTAATTATACTGTTGAATTTAATAAATTTTTTCAATTATTGGCATAGTCCACATACAATATCGATGAAGCTGAAATATGTGTTCTTTAGTAGATGCTCTGGTTAAACTGAATGTGGCTGTTAAGGGGCTTATTGCTGAGCTTATTTCTGTTTTTATTCTTTCTCCTTCTTCCAATATTACTTGATGTATGTCAGATTCTTTAACGGCGAGATTCAGTGATATTAGGAAATTATTACGTGAAGAGTGTTTTCTGTGGCCATTTACAAAGATTCATTTGTTATCTTCGTAGAGGTCAGGGCATCTTTTTATAATGCATTTGTCATCTTCGTAGTGGTCAGACATCTTTCCATTAAGCCTATTTTACTGATCATTAAATATTTTATATTGAATGTTCACTTTCGTTGACCCACATTTGCTGTTAAGTTATTGGTAATTGTTTCATTGTGTACGAACTTTTATATATGTTTTCAGTCCGTTCCCACGAATTATTTCTAGTTCGCAACGTTGACTCCCATTTTATTTTGTTGTTGGACTTTAATAGGTTCAAAATGGATGTGTCGATATGTTTATGTGCCCATTCGTAATTTTTAAATAATTTATCAAGTCTTCATTTAATTGAACTCTTTCATTATTGGATGCTCACGATTTTGCCAGTTTCTAGTCCATTACCGATATACTGGCACCGCTGTCAGTATGAATATTGTTGGACCGTTGGTTTGGGATGTAATAATTTAATTCTATTAAGAGAGCCCATAGTTCTGCTCTTGGGAATTAAACGTAGAACCTCTTCATCAACAAGATTGATTTGTTGATTGTTGATTATTTTAATTCCTATTCCCATTTGATGCTTTGATTTCTGGACGTATTTAAAGGTGTAATTTTTTGGTTATTACTGATCCGTCTGTATGGATAACGAAATTATTATACTTGTTAATTTCTGTTTGAATTGTGATATTAGATTGATTACTGGACTGTTAGTATGTTCTTAAAATAGAATATCAAGAGTTCTATCTAAGCCTGCACAAAAAAGCTAAAATTAATACCAAGTTCTAAGTATGCTCTATTTGATTGGTGAAATCATGCCTGATGTTTTTCTTGTGCTTTGTATTTGAACTTGGATGAAAAACTTGACTCACCGGTAATTGTGCTAATTCTTCAACTCTGTTTTAAATGTACTATCTTGACTTTTCTGGATCAGAGTTGTTTCTTTTTTCCGAATATCAGTTTCTGTATTCTCACAGCCCATGCATCGAGTTATTACTGAGGTTGGAGTTTCATCTCGCGTTTTCCTCACGAAATATTTGATTAAAATCTCTTGACTGCATTCGAGGTTGGGTTTCCTTTAAATTCTTCCTATTGTTGTTTCGAGTTTTTAGGAGAGTAATCGTTTAACTTCGTTTTGCTTTCTCTTAGATGTTTTGTTTATGGTTAGAACATTTGCATTATCTTTCCTAATTTAATCTTTCCATACTTCGATATATATCATGGTCTTCATACCATTTGACTTTTGTCCTGGAGATGTAATTGCAGTGTGTGGGTTTGCATTTAGTGATTGCTCTAGATATAATGTTCCTTGTCTTCTCATATATTATTGTTTTTAGTATACCAATCTTCGTGTATTCGAATTCAATAGAGTGTTTGCCTCCCCCATTTGGAACATTAGGAATTCAGTAGCTCGTGTCGTATGTTAAGTAAATTTTTTGTCTAATACTTTGATTATAAATACATTTAGATTTTTTGGTTTCTCCGAAAATTAGTCTATTACTCTTTGTTCCAAAAAGTCCAAAGATTGTTCTGTAATTGTTGCATTCGAATTGATGCTGACATTCTATAAGCTATTATCATTTATTCTCTGTACAAATCTGATACAGATATTCGTATTTACCTATCAATAAATAATGATAATATTTCGTTTTCATTGTAAGAAAATAATTTTTTTTTAAAAATAAAGAAAATGGAAATATTTTTATGATTTATTAATAATTTGAATTTTTTAAAAAAACAACTTCCTCCTCTAAAACTTAACATGTGAATATTCCTTCAACTTCTCCACCACTTCTCTCTCCTTGTTTCATACTGCCTAAATTCCCTAACTTTATTTTCGCCCCACGTCACCCTCTTCCTTTCCAAAAATACATCAAGTTCTTCTTTGTTCAATGGATACCAAGCCTCTTCAACTTTTTAGCCCCTAGTTTTCGTTCAATATGTTTGACCTCCTATAATATTAGAAATTTATAATTAGTATAATCTTTTATTATATTATTTTATTATTATTGCTACATATTGATTATAAAAAAAAAAATTATTTACGTTGTTCATTAATTTTATTAAAAATATTATTTATGCCTATCTGTTGGCAGCGCCATAAGTTCCTTGTAATCCTGGTCGTTGAGACCAAAGTAAATTGAATCAACCTCTCCCTTCTTTCCTTTTTTTTATTCTTTGTTAATATGTTTTGGAGTACGAAAATAGTAATAAATATAAAAGTTTTTTAAAAAAAAAATTACTTAAATAATATATAATTAGATTTCGCTCGTACCAAGGAGAAAAATTTTTAATTTTTTTGATGATTTTGTTTGTTAAAAAATTCAAATTTCAAAAAAGAAATCATTGATATTGCTATGATTAAAAAAGGGGGTAAAAAATATTGAATTATTAATAATTAGCCACCATTCTGATGAAGAATATGAATACTATTAATTATTACATCAGAAATGATAGTTATTACATCAGATTAGAATCATAATAGTTTATGCATCTTATCAAAAAAAAATCAGTTAATAATTATCATGAAAGCGCAGAAAAAAATTTATGATAATTGTTACCTGATTTTTTTTTTGATCAGATGCATAATACATAGTCTAAATTATTCATTATTATTTATTAGTATATTATGACATGATATGATACCATTGGACAGCATAATTAAGGTAAGATTATCAAAAAAAGTTAATATAATACAAATATTTATTTTTATTATCTATTGTTATTTTAATTTAATTTGTTTTTTTTAATGATAACGGTTTTAAATACAACTATAAATTTAAATGTTTTATATATAGAAAGTTAAAATACAACTATAATCTTAATTTAAATATAAAGAATAAATAAATATTTCATTAGATGGATGATCCATCTACCGAATCAATGGATCTATTAATATATTTGATGAATACACAGTTGATGTAAAATTTTTTATTTATTAAATATCAAACTGGTAATCACATTTATTGATTACACAGAAAAAATTTTATCGAAATACATTAAGGATTTCCTAAATATAGATAAAGTTAAGTATTATCATTATGGGTACTAACGGGGGTAAGAATTTGATGCGGGGTACATATATATAATTTATAGTAGTCACTACATTTATTAATATGAAATTTTTTGCGTTACACAATCTTATATTAAAGAAATTTTTTACTCGTTATTTCTAATGCAATACCAGATAAATAATACTTTCAACTATTTTATAGATAAGCATTATAAAGAACGGTTTTCTCAAATATTTGTCTTGTGATCCAAAAAAATCAAGGGTCTAATATTATTATATCAAAAAATCTTGTATTAAAATTGTGAAACTAAACCAAAAAATAAAGAATCTTAGGTGGAATCTTTAGAAGAATATTCGATATAATGTAACAATATGATATTTGACTCATACTTCTACTTTACTACTATACTTTGTTTCGGACGAAAAAAAAAAGTTAATCAGCCCATCTACCTAATTTGGCTTGCGTGCATCGGAATAATGATCATTAATAATAACAAATAAGAATAATTAATAATTATTATCAAAATTTTTTTCGTGAATGCCATAGCCAAGATCTATATTTAGAAATTTTTAGCAAGCAGAATAAAAGTTGGATAATATCATATGTTATCTTTTTATTATATTATATCAAAATTTCTTCCATTAAGTTTGTGTACTTTTTTTGATTTCGTAACCTTAGCACATTGATATGAAAATCCTTTATTATTTAGATCACAAGCTACCATTTTTTTTTATTGGTTTTCACACGATCAATATTCTTTTTTTTTTTTAAAAAAAAAAAACTCTTCTCCCTTCTACTCAAATTTAATAAAACAAGGTAATTTTTGCTGTAAAACAACTCTCTATTACTTCAAGGCTTATTTGATTTTCTTAAATCGCGTTATAACTGTTTTTTCCTTACACTACTTACAGCTAAATTTTATAAAAATGCAAGACCTTATAATCTGTAACTTCTTAAAAAAAACTGAACCAACAACGTATGCTTTGGGCAGCTTTATGGCAAATATTGTCATATTAATGTGGAGCTTAATGAAAATCAGCAGTCGCAATACTACTAGTTTACACTTTAAAATTTTTTGCGTTGAGGTATTTATAATTATTTATTGTGAAGTAATAAAAAATACCCTTACAAATTAATATTTAATACTTTTTGAACATTTTAGACAATATTGAACATAAAAATATCAAAAGAAACTGTCTTCATCGCAATAAAATATGTACAAAAGTACATGAAAAGAGGGAACACCGCAAACTTTACAAGCGAATATCAACTGTTTACGATCGCTCTAATGGTGGCGCACAAATGGCATAACGAGCCGGTTTATAAGAACAAAACTTGGTCAGATTTTACCCATATCCCTCTTAACGAAATTAATAAATTAGAAATCGCATTTATTGAATCTTTAAATTACAAGATTCATATTGGTGGGGATAAATATACTTTTTGGTTAAAATGTTTGACGGAATATGTTAAGACGGGAAAGCTCGCTTCACTATTTGTTGAACGATTCAACAAAAACTTCTCTCGATCACCTCCACCACCACCAGGCTTTGGTTTTGCTTTAAAATCGAGAATAATTCCTACTCCTATAGGTTATGAACGAAAAACTCAATATAGATTATACAATTTATATGATGGAATTGAACTTGACTTTTTTAAACAAACCCATTATAGATTATATAATTTATATGATGGATTTAAACTAGATTTTTTTTAATTAATCATTTTATTTTTATATTTTTCAAAAATTCTTTGTTTTCGTTTTATTTCTTAAATGTCATTCCTAATTTTCTTTAAATCTTTATTTCTTTTATTTTTGTAAATAAAATTATCTTTGATATTTCTATTGTTAATTCTTTTATTTTATTGTCTTGTTTTTATATATCTCGCTATTTTTATCCATGAAAAGTGGAAGATATATTTATTTATGTTGTCCAGATGTGTTGAAAAATCTCTATTTGACTTTGAGATCATTTGTGTTCGTGTAGTAATGATGATTTTTCTTAATTCTCTTCATAGGAAATATTTTGTTTATTTCGTAATAAAAACGAGACAAAAAGTCAAATAAATAAGTATAATGAAAATAATTTAATAAAATATTATTAATCATCTCCTTCATTTTTTTTCGATCCGATAGAATAATTTACTGCATCTGATTTCTTTGTAATTTAACTGGTAGCTTCTATATTGAAGGTAGGATCGAATCCATTTATAAATATTGTACCATAATTGTCATGCTTCCTGTCATTCTCCGATTTAATAAATATTGTATCATCCTGTTTAATAAATATTGTACATCCTCCGGTTTAAAAAGTATTGTACCATCCTCCGATTCAACAAATATTGTACCATCCTCCAGTTTTAATAATTTTGTAACAATTGTTATGCTTTCTGACTTTAAGTTCATATCCTTTCTCTGGTTTAATTAATTTTGTACAACAATTGTCATACTTGCTGTCATTAGGATCAAATCCATCCTCCGGTTTTAATAGATATTTTACAAGTGTTGTACAACAATGGTCATGTCATGCCTTGTGTCTTCGGATCAAATCCACCCTAATATTGTACAACAATTTTCATGCTTTCTATCACACATCCTCCGGTTTAATAAAGTATTGTGCAACAATTGTAATGCTTCACTGGAATTACTGGAATTCTGACACACAATTAATTAAAAATTTCAAATATACGAAATATTTGTAACATCGAACAAAAAAATTTTGAAATTTATGAAAGAATTTAGTATGAAAGTTCGACAATAATCGCCACCTTTATTAAGAGTAATTTTTTTATTTAAACTCAAGTTCTAATGATGATGAAATTTAAGTAATTTATACGTAATGATTATGTCCAAAGTTTATAAATATTTTTTAAGAATATAAAAAAAAACCTTTTTTCCAGAATAACAACTAATAGGTTCAAAATAAAGTTTTTAATTTTAAATATTTATATTTGTTAAAATTTAAATTACAAATATTTTCATATATAAGAACATTTGCATCAGAATAACCGATAATAAAATTCCAATTATGTTAATGAAGAATAAATAATAATAATCAAGTAAATAATTAATCAGATTGCTAAGTTCGATGATAAATTGATATCTGAAAATTAATTTAGATTTAATAATTATTATTTTTTTTTTAATTTATTTAAAAACTTGTACGCTATTTTTTCTTTATTATTTCATTTTTTAAATAATTTGTACTTTTAGAGAAAAATAAAATAGAATAAAAAAAAACTATCAAGAATATTTTAATAAATAATATTTGGACATATTTTTTTGGAATGCAAGAGATCGAATCCCTTTTAAATTTCATTTTTTATCACTTAATATCTATTATCTTAATTTTTGACCATAGAATTGCATTATATTGATTATTGTTTTTCATTAGAATCAAATTTAATTTTATTTGTAAACTTCAAATTATTGCATGTACAATTGAGCTTATTAACTAGTCACGCATAAATAAAGATTTTTTTCGTATTTTTATATTTTATCATTTTTTTAGTAAGCATAAAAATAATTGAATATAGTCATTATTATAATATCGACCCATTTTTTCATATGCAAAAAAGAATAAAACGTTGTTGATAATGTAAATATATATATATATATAATAATAAAAATGAAAATTTTATCTCCCCAGCAATATTCAACAAATAGAATTTATAATTTTTTATAATTTTTAAAATTTAATAGCAGACACTCTGCGTAATGAAGTCAACTGTAATGAAATAGAAATAAATTTTAGAAATAATAAAAATATATTAATAAAAAATGACTAAATTTATATGTTTTTTGATAAAAAAATATACTTACGAGACATTTTATTTCTCTTATTCCCCCCTGGGCCGTAATCATTATCATCACCATCCTCACCATCATCGTCACCTTTATTATTATTAATATTTTCGTCCCCTTTGAAACCACCTATTAATAGATTTTATTTTTTAATTTATTATTTATGATTAAAAGTTTACTGAAATAAATAAATAAATGAATCATTTACTTCGGTAGATTACTTCAGTAGATCACCTTCCAGTAAATTACCCTTGGGCAAATCACTTTACTTATTACAAAGAAAATTTGCCATTTAAAATTTAGAAAAGGTATCTGACTATATAAAAAATGACAAAATTCATGTATTTTCACTATTAAAATTTTAATACATTACTTTTTTTTTGCATTTTAAACTTTTAATAATATTGTAATTATAAAATATATAGTAATAACATGACATGTGATATTAGAAATTAAAATAAAAAAAATTAATTGCCCTGTATTCGCTTCTTTCCGACTCTCTCCTCCTCCTCTTCATCGTTATCACTAGACCTTTTCCTCTTTCTCCCTTCACCTGCATCACTCAAGTACTTCTTCAAATCTCTCTTCTCCTTTCTATTGTTTTTAAAATAAATAGTAAATATACAATAAAACTTGTAAAAACTGAACAAAAAGATGATAGAAATAATGCTTACTCAATTACACGATTAATTTCACCTAAATCATCTTCACCAGCTCGTTTTCTTTCTTTTTCTTCTTCCTTTGCCAACCTCCTCAACACCTCCTTTGCTTTTGAATTCTATAAATATGAAAATAATGTTAGTAAGAAGTTTTTTATGTTTGTTATACTTATACTTACGGATTTTTCTGTCCTCTTTCCTTGTGCCTTTTGAGAAAATTATAATTTTAAAAATAAAAATGTTAATAATTTTGTTTGGAGATAAAAACAATTTTATTTGGAGATAAAAAAACAATATGTAAATTACCTTTAAAATATTATTTAAGTCTTTAAGTTTAAGATGTTTAATTGTTTCATCACTCCATTCAAATAAGATGGATTCTTTAAAATTTAGAGATGTCATGATTAAGTTTTAGACAGTTCGAAATTAAAAAAATCCAATTGCTTCAGATATCAATCTTTAAAGGTTTAACTTGCTTAATTTGGCAGCCAATCAAATAGAAGTAAAAATTTTATTTTTAGCATCGTCATGATTGCATAATGGTGATGCACATGGCTGAAATTATTATTTACTGTAATTAATGAATTTGATAATTGTTATGATAAACTTATTATTGTTATCTACTGTAATCAATAAATTTGATTTTGTGATCTCGAAGTTACACATTTTTACATATTTTTTTTATTATATTATTCATTTCCAAATGCGTTAAACATTAAAAAATTAGAAGTTCTGAACTTTTGTCTAAATATTCTTTATTACAATTACACAACTCACAATATCTACTATCGAAACTAGCGTAATAATAGTGCTAAAAAAAATATAATTGGAATAATTACTATTTCTTCGAATGGCATATTGATCATTATATCCAATCTTAAAAAACTTTATTACTTTCAGGGTAGGAGAGAAATACTTTCCCGGGTTGAAATTAGCAATATTCTTATAAATTATAATAATACTTTCTAGCACGCTCAGTTAGTTTCTCGATTTAAATTTTAATGATTTTGTTTAAATATAATAATTAAATTTTAGTCCCAATTTAGACTTCATTTTATAATGAAATAATAATTGGAATAATTTTAATTTGTTTACTTGCGGAAATTCTTTATTCAAAAGTAATGTTGCATATATTCTTATTAGCGAATTCCCGTGCCGTTGAGTAATAGAATCGTTTTTTATCTCTGGTTCTAATCAATAGAAACACCATTTTATCTTTTGTACTACAACAATGTGTATTATTATATCGATTGCAAAATTCTTTCGATAAATTTTTTAACAACTTCAAATACTTCATAATCTATAATAAAAAATCCATCATATCTTTTCTAATAGACTTATCATAACAATTAAAATTATGAAAATTATCACGCCAACATAAGTAAATTCATCTTGCTTAAAATCAAATAATTTTGATCCCATTATGAATTCACAATTTCCAAATTGTGGACCATAAGTATCTTTGTCATGAGAATATCACAACTCCCCATTTTCATTTTGAAATTTATCAAGAATTAAACTTCGAATATTATCATCTTTAAATGAAAATATAGTTTATCTCAAGCCAAAGGATTAAATTTATCAATAATTTCATTTGCCACAAATTTCGAAAATATCCCAAAAAGTTCTTGGAGAAAATCCGTCTCGATTTCCGCAAAGAATTAATTGAAATACATACGGATTATTTCTTAAAGAATAGATAATTAACCCTTATGAAATTATTGCTGCATGTTCTTCATTATAGTTGAAAATAATTTGATTGCTCTTACTGGAAGTTCTTGTTTTATTTTATTAAATTTATCTATATTTATTACTCGATGATTATGATTAATTAAAATTCTTTGAAATTTCAGCCTATCTACTGTTCAGCTGCCCCAGTATCGCCTTACCCACACGTGAATTTTATAATTTTATTGGTCCGTAATTTGACGGGTGATCAGAAATGCATCACATGTCAAATTCACACATAAATAAAGACGCAAAAGTTTCAATTATGACTTATGGTTATTTTTTTGATATATCAAGATACGCGTGAGAAAAGTGTTATTTTTTTGATATGCTTTAAATTATTTAATTATAGATGCATCAAAAAGATAACTATTCGTCACATGAAAATTTGATATCAAAAAAATAACCATGGATCTATCAAAAACGAAGTCTTTGCAATAAAGATAGTATTGAAGCTGAATTATAATTTTTTTTTTTAATAATCAATGTTTAATTTGTGAAATATGAAAAAATTCTTAGAAATAGACACAGAGCAATAAAAATTAAATACAAATTTAAATAATGGAATCTATCTGCTATTCTTTTATATTATAATATTATAATTATACTAAATAAATTATTTTCGAAATGCATCACTATTAATAATTTCGTTATTTTTTTTTTTTTTTTTTTTGAGAAAAATTGAAGTTAAATTAATTTTAAGTCGTTTTAACTTTATTTATTTTTGATGTTTAAATTATCTAACTATTTTTAACAAACTAAATATTTCTAGGCAGAAATAAATATATATTTTTTAATTTATAATAAAAATTTTAAAAGTATATGTACTTCATTGCCTAACTACAAAATTTAAACCTTATTTTTCTAAGTCTGTAATAATATAAATAAACTAAAATTTTATATCTATTAAATTAATTTAAGAATTATAAATAAAATAAACTATTCAACTATTCAAATTGCCCCTTTATAACTAGAAAAGATTCTATTGAATAAAATTTTAAACTGATGTAATAATGAAAATTAGTTAAATAATTAAATAATAAAATATATTTTATTGAAAAACGTTTAATCTGATCTGATGTAATATTTGTTTGTTTTAAATTATTTCAATAAAGATATTATAAATTATATTGATAAAAATATGTATGATTTATTACACATATATATAATATAATTTACATATTATTATTTTGGAAACTAAAAAAAAAAAATTTATCAATAATAAGAACAAATAAAATTCGGCAATATGATGTACATATGTGTTTATTTTTTAGTTGAAGTTTCTTATATTATTATTACATTATCATTACAATAATTGATTATTAGGCCTGCAACTGAATCTTAAAATAGAATCGGTCAACTATATGGCATTAGAAAAAATGGAGAAACCAATGTCAAAACTCAATATAATTTAACCTGCTGGAATTTAATTTTTATTCTAATTATTATTAATATTATTACAAATACATATATCTATTATTATATCATTTATCATCTATTATTTATTTGTATATAATCAAGAAGAATTGTTAGCTTCTTTATATGAAATTAAAAAGAACTTCTACGTTTGGGATCAAAATGAATAATATAGATTATAGAAACCTTATTTAACATCCACAGAGCGGATTTCTTTTTCTTTTTAGATTTTTTTTTTATATTCTGTATATTCTCAATTATTATAAATAAATATAAAATTTTATAATTTTCGTTTTGATTTGATTGCCAAATGAACAGTTTAAAGTTTAAAGTATTTGTTGAAATATTATTATTACTATTATTAGATTCAAAGTGCAGTAGCTTAAATTTACTTCATTTATATACAGTATCATCATTAATAATCTAGAAGCATCATCTGAATAAAGAACCATTTATTTGCAAGTAAAATATAATAGAATTTTATTGATAATATATACATATATGCATAAAGTAATAAGTAATAAAAAGAAAATTTTAAAAAAATGTATACAAATTAAAAGAAAATAAATTTAATTATGATTTTATGACAACAACATAAGCAACACAACAATTAGTTTAATATAAATCCGACTGTAATAATAATTAAAAATAGAAGTTTTAGAGTATATTAAAAACTGATTAAAACATATTTCATTCTTGATAAAAAAAAAAATACTTACAAGACATTCTACTCCTTTTATTTCCACCTGTGCCATTTTCATCTTCATCATCATCTCCTTTATTATTATTATTATTCTTTTTCAACTTGTCATCACACCCATCACCTATTTATAATTTTTTTTAGTCGTTATTAATTCATTCATTTAATTGTCGCGTTAGAATTTTATATAAAAATAAAAAATAAAATCATATACCTATTTCACTATGTTTTCTTTTTTGGCCTCGGGTTTGTAATTTTCTCAACTCTTCAAGAGCCACAGCAACCAGAATATTAAATTGTTGTGTTTGTTGTTGTGGTTGCTGCTGTTGTCGTGTTTGTGGTTGTTGAGATTGAGGTCGAGATTGAGATTGAGATTGATATTGAGTTTGAGTTTGTGGTCGAGATTGAGGTTGAGGATGAGTTTGAGGTCGAGGTTGAGGTAGAGTTTGAGGTTGAGGTAGAGTTTGAGGTAGAGTTTGAGGTAGAGGTCGAGGTTGAGGTTGAGCTTGAGGTTGAGATTGAGGTTGAGGTTGAGTTTGAGTTTGAGGTTGAGGTTGATGTTGTTGTTGCTGTTGGACAGCATTTTTTTTGGGCCTTCCTCGCCCTCTTTTCGGTTGATTTTGTTGTTGTTGAGGATTGGAATTTTTTTTAGGTCTTCCTCGACCTCTCTTCTGTGGTTGTTGTTGAGGAAGCTGTTGTTGTCGAGGAAGTTGTTGCTGAGGAGGTTGTTGTTGTTGAGGAAGTTGTTGTTCAGGAAGTTGTTGTTGAGTTTGTTGAGGAAGTTGGGATTGTTTTTGTTTTTTACTTCTTGTAAGCATATTGGAAAATAATTTTTTAATTGAAATATTTGTTTTATTATTTTTTTTGTCAAATTTAAATTGAAAAAAAATCGAAATATTGGTTTTATTATTTTTTTCTCAAATTTAAATTGAAAAAAAATTTTGAATTCTCCATTCTTTTATATCTATTCCTTGCCGATCAGATTTTAGAATAAATAAAATAATTAGTATATTGAACAATTGAAACTTTTAAGAGATTATTCTTAAAAAGAACTATTAATTTAATTTTTATGATTTTATTTATTATGATTATGCTATTGATGAAAATATGCTTTATAAATTTCATAATTCTAATTGTTAAAATTTCTTGAGTTTACTAATTTGGTTAATGCACATACCTTTGATTTTTTGAGACTTACCAATTTTGTTCTAGCAGTTATGAAAATTTTTTTTTTACACGTTTTGCTATTTGGAAGAATAAAGACTAATAATAATAATATATGGCGCAAGCACATGGGAAGTTGAAAAAGAAAAAAAAATTTCATAACAATAATACACTTATGAATCGGATATCACATTTTATAGATTATCTATGATCATAAAAATAAAAGTAGTGATAAGGTGAAATTGCATTACTTAATGTAATATGTAATAGTCAATTGCAATATATTGGTTATGTAGCTAGAATTGTAATTAAATTAAAAATCATTTTTTTAAGTTTTTTGAAACCAATAATAAAATAATAATTATTAAAAAAAAATATTAAAAAAAATCATTCTAACGAACAAACAAAATTAATTTTACTTTATTTTTATAAATTTTTATTAAAAAAGGTTGATAAGAAGACAAACTTAGAATTACAAGATAACAAGAATTATAACGACAGTTTCAATTAAATAATTGTGAGAAATAATAATATACGTTAAAAAAAAACTATTTTTAGGATGTTTATAATAACAGCTAATTATTCTTTATCATCTTTATACACCAACCTGCCAAAAGTATCCGGGCAACAATTTTTTTGTCAAATTTTTAAAAAATTTTAAGGATGAATTATA